CTGCACCTGGGCATGTCCACTGACCTGCACATGGCTCGTACCTGGCCTGGCAAACAGCAGCAACCCACTGTTGGCCGGGCCTGGGACAGCCCTCTGCACCTTCCCAACTTTCACACAGGACCTTGAGTCCTAGTTAGCGCCCCAGATGCTCCCATTCCCTGACCTATAATTAAAATTAATTCTTTTCATGGAAATCCCAAAACACAGTCTCAATTACAAGCAGCTCCCACACTCGGCAGGCTCCCTGGCCCAGCCCTGCTCACAGGACACCACTGTGGGCTGACAGAGGGACAATGCACTCTCCGGGCCAGGTCTAGCTGACCCTTCCCTGCAGCAGCAGCATCAGGCAGCACCACCCTCCCATCATGGCCATTCTCAGTCCAGCTGGCCAAGCCTGTAAGTGCCCAGCAGCAGAGAGGAGGCAAGTGTCAGGGCCTCCACAAGGCATGGGCCCCCAAGAGTTCCTGTCCTGGGATGCTCTGCACAAGCACAGCTCACAGGTATCCCAGCAGCCAGCTCTAGACAACCACTCGTGCCTGGGGTGCTGGGGGCCCATACACGGCAGCTACACATCTAGCTACAGAGCCCAAGAGGACCAGTCGAGGGCTTCTGGAGGTAGGCGCACACCCCGCCAACAAGAGCAGTTGGCATCAGAGCACAGGCTTTGGAGAGCCCCAAAGTAGGGTCCCTGTGCTGGCTGTGGGTTCAGAGTCCTCCCAGCCCACAGAGCTCCATAACTAGTTCCAATGCACATGCTGCCCGCTCGGCCCCACTGTTGGCCAGTGTAGCTAGGCTCTGGCTCACCAGGCATGACTAAAGAGCTAGAAAGATCCTTAGGGAGTAAGGGAGTCTCCAAGAAAGGCCACCAAGGGCACGACAGACTCGGGGACCACATCAAGTCCTCCATATTTACCTGCACCCCTGGCTCACCCCAGGCTTTGAACCTTCATGGTGAGGGGTCATTCCCATTTCTAGTGGTACAGGAGCCAGCCTCCTAGTCACTCAAGAAAATACCCCAAGGCTAGGCACAGTGGCTCACACCTGGAATACTAGCACTTTGGGAGGCCGAGGTGGGTGGATTACTTGAGCTCAGGAGTTTGAGACCAGCCTGAGCAAGAATGAGACCCCATCTCTAAAACTAGCTGGATGTTGTGGGGGGTGCCTGTAGTCCCAGCTATCTAGGAGGCTGAGGAAAACTTGAGCCCAAGTGTTTGAGGTTGCTGTGAACTATGATGCCACAGCACTCTACCAGGCAGTCTTACCAAAAAAAAAAAAAAAAAAGAAGGAACATTCTAGACTTTGGCCCTGACCCTGACAGTCTGGGCACATCTGACTCCATCAGCTTCACAGAGCTAGGGACAACTGCACAGATCTCCAGTGTACCCCCCCCACCCCTGTGGGGCATGTACAGGAGTCAGTGGCTCCAGGAGCTGGGAGCAGGCAAGGCTGGTGGCTGCAATGTCCCCTTCAGGCCAGCATGGTGTATGTACACAGCCTGGCTTCTGGCCCCCAGGAGACCTGAGCACTGGAGACCTGAGCAGTTGTCCCTAGCTCTGTGAAGCTGATGGAATCAGATGTGCCCAGACTATTGGGGTCAGGGCAAAAGTCTGGAATGCTCCTTTTTTTTTTTTTTTGGTGAGACTGCCTGGTTACACCCCACCAAAGGAGGTGGGTGGATGCTAGCTCCATCCAGCACTGTGAATGGGAGGGCTCCACCTCACAAACAGGGAAACTGAGGCTCAGAGAGGCCCTGGATCTTGCTAGGCTCACATGACCCATGAGGTCAGAGGCAGACTAAGCCTAAATCCCACTCCCAGGGCCTTGCGGTGGGACCGTCACAGGCCACATGAAGAACTGGTACAAGTCATTGAACCCAGAAGCAGCTCAGTGAGAGCTGGGCTGGGAATGTATCTGGCAGGTGCAGGGACCCAGCCTCACAGGGGCTGGGCAGCTATGCTGAGGAAGGAAAAAGCTCAGCCTCCAGGGAGAGGGCCAGGAGGCCGCCTTGCCCAGCGTCCCTGCAACGGGCAGGAGGAGTCCCTGAATTGGGCAGAGGTGGTGCATACAGCTGGGTCACAGGCACCCAGACCTGGTACAGCCCCAACAGCACCCCACATTTAACTCTGGCCCCTCTCCCCACCACCCCTATAGACCCCCCACAGCATGTGCCCTGTCCCCAGCCTGTCCCCGCCACCTCACCCCAGGACCACCCAAGGGTGCTGGCAGGACCACATGCTTCAGCAGTCATGGCCAGGCAGGACTGTGGAACACAAGGCCACCCTCAGACCCACTGCCCTGGGCTTTCAGCTCTTACACATCAGGACAGACGGTGCAACACACCCTCAGACCCACTGCCCTAGGCTTTCAGCTCTTACCATCAGGACAGACGGTGCAACACACCCTCATTCTCCACGTGCCTCTGAGCCCAACTTCCCAGAGTCTAGGGCCAGGCTTTGTCAAGATGACCAAGGCTGGCACACTTGGTCACCTGTTGTGGGAGGGCATGCACCTGCAGTTCCAGGGTGGCCCCTTCCCCTGCCCACTATCATTGCTGTCAAATGTCTGTCCCTGGCACCTGCCGCACCCTTACCCATGGCCTGGGCCACCACCCCTGCCTCCCCAGACATGAAGCCCACACACAGAAGCCAGATCAGAAGCCCAAGTCACTTCTACACCCAGCCTCTGGTGGCTTCAAGACAGCTGACTTGGCCAACTGGGTCCACTGAGGCATGGAAAGGACAGATGAGGCCTATGTCCAGGTCACAGGTCTAGGAGTACACAGCAAACAAATGGGCTGTCTGTCCATGGGGAGTGGTCCTTCCACATGCCCTATACTAGATGGGTTCAAGGAGCCCGGGCCAAGTGCACAGCTGAGCGGTAGGCCCCACCGTGGGCTCTGCGGGAGCCTGTGCCCTGGACAGAGAGGCATGGATGGGATGGGGAGGGGCTGTCCAGGAGGGAGGAGGAACACTGAGGATCCAGGCCTTTCCCAAGCCTCAGACACCCTGGTCAGCACCCTGGCCACAAACTCTGCCTTCAGCAGGAGGTTCCTCTGACAGTTCACAGTGAACCTGGACATGCAACAGGGCCAGGCAGAGGGCAGCAGCCTGGGCAGGCAGAGCTACAGATGCCAAATGGGGGACATCACTGAGCCATGGAAAGGAAACACTGATGCTGACAAGGAAAAGGAGTGACGTGCTGACACGCCTCCACACACAACCCCTGAAACATGCACTGACACGCCTCCACACGCAACCCCTGAAACACTGCACTCTGTGCATGCACTGACACGCCTCTACGCACAACCCC